ACGTGAGCCGAGAATCCCGTCTACTCGGGGATTGTCCTACAGGCCGCGAGGCGCCACAGAATCGGTGGCCTGGACGCCTCCGGCTTCGGCCTGAACCGCGAAGGAAAGTGCGGGCGGGCGCGGTGGCGCTAGCGCCACGGGTCCCAAAGGCGCGCTCCCGCGTGCTCCCGAGGGCGCGGTGGCTGTGTGGCCCGGTGCCGCGCACACTCCGGATCTGCCGACGATCCCAAAAGTACCCAGCGGATCTTCCCTTCACCCCGGTCCACTCGTGAAAATCCCCCGGGTCTTAGCAAACGGCGGGGATCACGCTCTGTGCGTGGCCGCTGCGGGCCTGGCGGGTGTCGCCTGTCAGCGCGGCGCTGCGCTCGTGTCGTGGGGTTTCCCCTGTGAGCCCGCAGGGTTACCCGCCGGGAAGGTTCCAAACCAGCTTGCCCTGTGAGCTTCGTGTCCTCATTTTCATACACCTTCAAAGTTTCGAGCGATTTTTTTTCCTGCTTGTGTCGGCAGAGAATTAACGTCTAGTCAAATGAATCTTGAGATTTTAATATCTTAATTTAGTTAAGTGGCCGTTATTTTGCCCCACCCATGATGGACAAGGATCGAGTGGCAGGGTATTTGAAGATACTTGCCCAGCTGTAATTAAGTGATAACGGCTTCTTTGTGGTTTAACTAACAACCCAGGCACCTGGGCATCAAATGGACCCAGAAGCCACAGGAGCAGACTTAAAAGAAATCTGTGAACAGTGCTTTGTGTTATCACATTTCTCTTGGTAGAGTTGCTGGTCTAGTCTAACCCACTACCGACCCCTGTGCAGCACAGACGCATCGACTTTGCCATAATCTCTGTATCCATTTTAAATCACCTTCTCGTATAAATAATTGAATGTGCTGCTAATTCTTTTCAGATGCTTACTTCTGATCATGGAGAACCATGAAACAGAACTTTTTATAAATAGGTACTTGCTATTTTTTTTAAAAAAAATATGATAAATAGTTTAGTGTTATCTTGGTCAAAGATAAATTTTCGCCCTCTTTCCCGATTGTGAATTAATAACTGTTCCAATCTGGTTGAGTTTATTGAGTAAACAATTACAAGGCTGGGTACATTTTTTAAGTTGGAGAAGTACAGCTCTGAGGAAAGCAGATAGCACCTATTTTTAAGTTGTTAAGAGATTTTTGCTAATTGATCAACAGGAATACTGTTTTCAGTAATACTGAAAATCCTAATTTGAGAAGGCTACTGGGACACAGGGTTTTTTTAGTGGTTTACAATATTTTGGTCAACTAGAAAGCAGCATAGTCCTCAGGCCAAGTTTGGAATCTCCTTCTTACTAATTTGAATGCATCTTTAAATTACACATCACTAGATTTTTTTTCCTAGTCCAAGTATTAAATGAGTCCTAATTGGAGGGAGAGGTTTCCTAACACAGGCATTAATATGGCATCCTTTATAAAAGTCATTTTAATTCTGACCATGCTAACTCTCCTATTGCGTTAATAACAAAAATTATTTCGAGTCTTAAAAGAGACTGATTCTGCCTGGAAATGTATATACAGTTCATCCACTTTTCTTGAATAACTTATAACTGTAGAGAACTTTTCTAAAACCATGTCCCAGGACATTCAATTCTTACTGCCTGAGGGTGTGTGTGTGCCTGGGTTGTGTGTGTATATACACACACACAAGTGTACAGAGTGTACACACAGGTCCACAAGTGTACAACGGCTTTCCAGGAGCTATGTATAATGCCAAACTGCTAGGGACCTTTCCTATAACTTTGAGATCTGTTTTCTGCTCATGCACCCACAGACTAAAGTCCTAAAGAGATTTTCCTTGCTCCAACATAGCCTCTGATGTCCTTTAGATTCTGGGATAAGAAAAATAAGGTTCCCAAATCTGGGCACAGTTAAAATACCTAGAGAGAGCTTTTTAAATATGCACACCTGGGGCCCATCTCAAAGAGTGATTCAGTTCCTACAAGATGTGCCTGTGCATCAGTATTTTTTTTGTGTGTGTGGTACCAGAGATTAAACCCAGGGCTTGGCATTTGGCTAGGCAAGTGCTACATCCCCAGCCCTAGGCATCAGTATTTTGAAAGCTGAGATGATCCCAATGTCTGGCAGTTTGAGGCCCACTGGAAGGAACCAAGAAGTGAGCTGAAGAGCCTTCTAACTGGGTGTGAATTTCATGCTTGATTGATTCAGATACTGCAGGAAGCCAGTGTGAAGGGAGACTTATAAAAAATCTTGGACTCCAGCTCCTCAGCCCTGCGTTTAGTGAACAGATTTATATGGTTTCCTGGAGCTTGCCTACCTGAGATTTGTAGGATTTCTCTTTGCAAGCAAGATAATAGTTATCCCAGAATTCCTTATTAACTCACTCTGCATCATATGTTGGGAATATTGTGAGTGTTGTGAGGTTTGGAAGCCTATACAGCCTTAAATGTTAGAGTTAGGGGCTTTAGATATGTCAAAATTCAGTGCTGGTCCTTACCTCCGTTCTCTCTAACCTGGTTTACAAAACACTGGGAAAGTGAAAGCGGTTCATGCTTTGAAGTTTTTCAGTCTGCTGAGAGAGACAAGTAAACACTTCTTTTCAATGTGGTAAATGATTTGATGAAAGTGAGTCCTGGGAACACATGTTTGGCCTGTGAGCTCAGGGAAATTCTGGACAGAATTTCAGGAGACATTTTGGAGTTTTTGATTTGGCAAGAGGAAAGGTGTTTTAGGTAAAGCAATATTTTTTTTTTCAAAGGCACAGAAACGAGAGCTTGCTTGGAGTAGAGAATTATAAGTGACTTTAGTATTACAACCCAAACTGCTTGTCTCTCCATGTTGTTACAGTAAAACTTTAGGTGGGGAGTGACTATGAGAGGGGTAGGTTGGGGTCTGGTGATAAAGACCTTATATATCATACTAGGGGTTCTAGGATCTCTTTGATAGCTAGGAGCCACTAAAAGATTTTAAGCAAGGGAAAGGCATGATCAGATTTTCTTTTTCACAATGTAGAATGTGACCTTAGAGGGTGAGACAATGTAATTAGATGGCTGGAGGTAGATAATGAAAGCCGGAACTGAGGTAGTGATGTTAGGTTTGAAGCAGGCAGGACAGGTTAGAGAAATACTTAAGTGCCAAAATTAGCAGAACTTGGCCATGGTTGGATATGGGGTAAGAAATGATGGCCCCTAGAATAACTGCTAATCCACTGGCATGGGTAACAAAGTAGTCTCTAACTTAAACTAGAATAACAAGTTTGGGAGTAGGTGTGGGAAAGGAAGAATTCATCATGGACCACCTGAGTTTAAAGTCTTTCCCACAGGCAGGTAAGTACATAAGATTGATGTAAAGTTTTGAGGTCTCAGTATTAGTGTTAAAACCATGAAAGAGATAAGATCAAAGAAGAGGTGTGAAGAGCTGAGGACATCAATAGCCCAACACTAGGGGACTGTAGTATTTGAGAGTAGATCAAGGAAAAAGATCAGATTATGTTTTACACCGAGTTTTTAAAAACTTAGTGTTTACTTTTTTACTTTTGTGCTTTAGTCAAAGAAGAAAGGATTGAGTGCAGAAGAAAAGAGAACCCGCATGATGGAAATATTTTTTGAGACAGTAAGTTGTTTTCATTAAAATTTTTAGTATTTTATGTAATTTTCACATTGTTTATTTTCACAGTTAGTATATTGTGTATTTTTACATTAATTAATTCACTGTTAGCCACTGCTGCTTTGTTAGAGATCCATACGGTCCAATTTCTTGAAAGATGTATAAAATTTTGCAAACATTTGTCTTCCCATGAACTACAAGAGTATGGAAGAATCATGTCCCACTGTTGGTAGAGTCTCATTCACCAGAATTATCTTTCAGATACATATATTTGATTGTTCTTTCTGCCTGAAAGTAATGAAAGTAATTCATGTTTACTTAGTGATACTGAGGTGCCAATCACTGTTCCAAGCATTTATCAGAGATTATCTGATTTCTCCATATATCAACCCTATGAGGTATTGCTATCATCACTGTTTTACAGATGAGGACTTTTGAGATGCAGAGTGTCTATAAGAAGCCTATTCTGGATCCCAAAAATAGAAGTGACAATACCAGTATTCAAACAAAGGAGATCATCTGATTTTAGAAGGAGTGCCTGTTTGTATTTATTTATCAATCTATCATATGTATTATATGATGCATATATGATCGTTCACAGGCCTCCCTAATTTGCTCCAGATGTTTATGCTTGCCATTAACAGGAAATATGTTTAAAATTTTAACTTTTAAGTAGCAGAGACAGAATTCAAACCCAGCCACCTGGCTCTAGAGCCTGTTCTTATTCTCTTCACCATGTTGCTGTACAATGGCCTTTCTTTGCCTCCAGGTTCAAGTCCAAATAGGCCTTTTACCTTAATCTACGTTAACTTCATGTGGCTTGGCAGAAACTTTAACCTACTGACCCCAACTACTGGCTATTTTCATCATATACAGACATGAAGAAGATGGGGAAAAGTGTTTAAGCAGAATATTAAATTGATAAAATTCCTTTTCATTTTGATAATGTAGATTCTCAATAAAATGAGCAAAATATTCTGGGAATTTAAAAAGCATGTATTTCTTCTGTGAGTGTAACTTTTACTGTTTCTAAAAGTCATTTGCAATTCAGAATAGTATATCATATTAATAGTGATGATATCATTAAGAAGATAAATTGGTAAAGTTTGCATATGAAAATTATGACAATTATTCTGCTGAGATGAAATATTTTTCCTATAGTCTTAGAGCAAGAAAAATCGATTTAATTCCTACCAGACAGTGGAAAGCTGGGGAAAGTAGTCAGTGAAATTATTTTGTCCTTTGTAGTATTGTTAATTATCCCAAATATAAAAATTGGCTATTTCTGATTGAGAAATGTTTAACTTTCCCCCTCAATAACATTAAGATACTAAAGACTGATACTAATGAATATTAGCAGCTTAAAGAAATTATCAGTGAGGTTTTAGGGAAAACGAGGAATTAATTCTGTTCATTGGTTTCAATTCATACATGCCTGTTCCTTTTCCACCTTTCATCCTAGTTATTTGCTGCTCATTTATGTAGTTCATCAGTTTTTAACAGAATTAAAAAGTATAACAGACTTGAGAAAAGTAATGGAGACCGTTTCATTTACTATCTCATGAACAGGATATGATATATCCAGGATCCAGATCGATGTCAAATGTTGACAAATATTAGACACAAACCCTTCATCATTTTGAAACAAATCAATAATATGGTACATAGGGAAAGCATGGATTCTAGAATTCAGATTCTGGAATCTTTATTCCAGTTCCATTGTTGGAATTGGCAAGTGAAAATTCCAACAAAATCAAATATGGTGACACTAGCTTTAGTTACAGAATATGACTTTAGATGTGAATAGTAACCTCATTTTAGACTAATGTCAAGGAGAACTGTTCATGATGTAGAAAGTTAAAAAAAGTATATAAAAATATTGCAATATGATCACAGATATTAACAGTGGTAAGATGATAGGTGGATTTTGTTTTAAGTCTCTTTTTTCATTTACTTATAGCGAACATATATCACCTTTTGAATCAAATTAGAAAACCAACCAACGAAGCACCACATACTTTGGTGCCTCTAATCATAAGTGGTTCATTTGCAAAGGTTTAGAAATCTTTTTAAAACACAGTCTTCAGTAATCCTGACAGTTCATGAAAGTGTAAGAACCTTCTTATCCCTTCATGAACCATTTTGTATGTTGAGGTACAAATAGTCTTCCAATAAACTTTTGTTGAATTTTTCTTAAAATTATCTCAGCAAAGACTTAAGTGAATAGCTCTCCATTGGCACACTTATACCCAGAGAATTTTACATAAATCTATAAATAGAATGAGACAGACATATCATATATAGATATATACACACACATATATATATATGGATCTGTTGCATATTTGAAGCTTCCAATGTAATAAAAAAATTCTTTGCCTGTTGCACTTGGGAAGAACATGGGGACAGGATAGCTGTGATTTCGAACTTGAACTTGGAATCTGTTTTACTTAATATTGGTATAACGTTAAGAAAGGACCTTGACTTCTCTGTTTCTCAGGTTCTTCATCTGTTAAAGAGAACAGATGCACCAATCTCACAGTGTTGGTATGAGAATTAAATGAAATAATTTATGTAAAACATTACAAACTCTAGGTCATAAATACTAAATTAATCTAGTGTTAAACCATATGTCTTCCATGGAATCTTACATGTAGTTTTTATGGAGGGAAGGGGAACTAACTAGATCTATTATGTTCATTTCTTTTATCATCAGTGCTTAATGCTAGGGAGACTAAGAACTAAGATTTACTTGAGATTATTTGTTCAGTCCATTTGGGTTGTGAGACTCTTTGTGCAAGCCCGTTTGTTTACCCAACAGTCCATAAGGTTGGCCAGTGTGTCTGGGGCTCTCTGGTGACCACATATAAGCAGATCTCTCAATGAATTCATGTTCTTTTTCCAGGCACTATGAAGTATTTGCAAAGAGATAGAATGGATTTGTCTAGTGCATTAGAAACCTATAACCAATAATTTATTATATGTTCCCTAAGATTCTAAATTGTCATCTTTAATTCCCAATTCTAAATTGTCACCTTTAATTCTCAATTGTGCAAAATGGATTGATCTTATACTCTAATGAGTTAGTATTCTCTTTTCACTAAATCTTAGGTGTAGTGAGATGAAATTTTTTCAAATATTTTATTATAAAAAAAGTTCAAACATATAACAAAAACAAAAGAATTTTACAGTGAATACACATGTTTCTACTACCCAGACTCTACCATTAACATCTGACTTTACTCACTTTATCATATATGTATTCATCTATCCACTTCTTTATTCATTCATCAATTTTAAAAATATACTTTAAAGGAATTCATATATAAATAGCCTGGGTACCAGGCCTTTACCAAATATGTGATTTTGAATATGTTCTTCTAGGTGGTATTTGTTTTTTCAGTTTCTTAGCAGTGTCCATTGGGATAGACAGAAGTTTTTAATTTTTTTTAAGTTTTGTTTCCATCCAATTAAAGTTGCCTTTTCAAGTTTATTTTGGAAGAAATGAATCCCAGATTTCCATAACAATAATAATAGTATTTCTGTTATAATTACTGAATACTTTAGTCTTTTGAGACAGTTTTGTTTTATTATCCAAGTTCTTTTTACCACTTAAACCAAAGCTTATTACAAGTAGAAAAAAGTAGTCAACATTTTTTATGACCATCAGATTAAATATCCTACATGCTTATTTTCCCTCTATGTTTTACATTGCATATGGTGGGCATGCAACGTGTATAGATGAATGATTGAGAGATGGCTATGAATTGTATAATTTTCTATATTTAGGTGTAACTGCTTCATGAAACCTTAAATGTAAACAAATCTTGACAGTTGTCTGTTGTTTTGATTAGAACTGCTAAATCTGCAGAGTGTAATTTATGCTAAATAAGGCACTATTTTTTATTTGTTTTTCTGGTTCAGCAGGAAGTTGTTCTTTGTTTCAATCTCCATTTATTCTAAAGAATTATGCTCAGGCTGAAGTCTTATATGTTTTAAGTTATATGGAGGGTATTAAAGGAGATAATCACAAAGTTTTTTATAGTTCTAAAATGCTTTATTCTATTGCACTCTTTGTTTTCATGCATACTTTTTAATACAATATTTTATGAATATAATTACATAAACGTATAGTAGAAAATAAATGTATTTTTCATATTTTCTACTCCTTTTAAACAGAAAGATGTGTTTCAATTGAAAGACTTGGAGAAGATTGCTCCCAAAGAGAAAGGCATTAGTAAGTATTAAAGATATGCTGGAATACTTTGGAAAATATCAGTCATATTTTCTGCAATAATATTTCTTTTTATGAAAAACAAATTTCTAGAGATGAAAAATGTTTGTAAAAGTTCCTATGTAATGTCTGTTGGCCATCAGTTCTTGTGTTTGGATTATATGCTGTAGAAGAATTAAAATGGAATACATGTATATACTCACACATGCATATACATATACAATATACACCCTTATTTTTTAATGTAGTTTATTTCAAAAGAAATGAACATTGTGTTCTTATGTTCTAGTATTTGTTAAACGTGATTTTGTGTCTTTACATTATGTATTAGTTTCCTAGTGCTGCCCTAACAAATTCCTATACATATATTGGCTTAACGCAACAGTAATTTATTTTCTCATAGTTCTGGGGGCCAGAAGTTTGAAATTAATGGGTGGGCAGTTCTGGTTCCTTTGGGAGGCTCCAAAGGAGAATCCATTTCTTTCTTCTTTTCCTAGCTTCTAATGGTTTCTAACAGGATTCTAATCCCTGGCTCTGTCTTCACACAGCCTTATCCTTTGCATCTGTGTTTTTCTTTTCTTCTCTCTTTCATAAAAACATATGTCATATCTCCTTAACTTAATTTTTAATTACATCTACAAAGACCCTTTTCCCAAACAAGCTGATATTCACAGGTTCCAGGAGGTTAGGACCTTGAATGTATTTGGGGGGTAGGGGAACTACTAAGTCCACTACACATGACATGTTTCTTTTTAAACCTTTCTGATTATGTAAACTATGCATGTTAGTTTATTTTAACAAATTTGGAACTATAAAAACTATAAGGAAGAAGGTGAAATTTTTTCATAATCCTATTCTGAGGTCACCACTGTTAACATTTGGATGTTTCTCTGTGTGTGTATATATTTTTGTCCATCTCTCTGATAGGAAACCATGCTGTGTATGCAGTTTTGTGTTTGTGGGGTTTTGGGGGAGTTGGTATTGGGATTTGAACCTCGGGCCTCATGCTTGCTAGGCAAGTGCTCTACCACTGAGCTAAACCCTCAGCTATGTATTTTTATATAGCATTTTACCATCTACATTTACATCACTTGTTTTAAAAATGATTTTTGACAACTCCATCTCCTAAAATTTCATTTTGTGATCATCACAATACCATAACTTGGCTTAGATGGTCACTTATTGAACATTTAAATTGTTTCCAAATATTGCTGCTAGAAATAATATGTCATTAACATACAATCTGCTCTGGACTGAATTATTTTCCCCCATTTTTTGTTTGTCTGTTTGATACTGGGGATTAAACTCAGGGGCATTTGACCATTGAGCCAATTCCCCAGCCCTTTTTTTGTATTTTATTTAGAGACAGGATCTCACTGAGTTGCTTGGTACATACAATAGAAAATAGATATCTGTGTCCTTTTTTAGCCTTTTTAATATGTAATCTCACACTGCCTTCAGGGAAGGTAGTTTAGTCAAATTTTCCACTGCTGTGTCTAAAACACCTAATAAGAACAATTAGAGGAAGAGAAGTTTATTTGGGGGCTCATAGCATCAAAGGTCTTAGTTCATAGATGACTGACTCCTTTTCTTCAGGCCTGAGATGAAGCAGAACATCATTGTGAAAGTGTGTTGTAGAGGAAAGCAGCTGGCCACAGGCACCAAGAAGCAGAGAGAGAGATCTCTGTTCAACCATAACAAAATATATACCCAAAGGCACATCCCTAAGGACTCATGTCCTCTAGCCACACCCTACCTGCCTACAGTTACCACACAGTTAATCCCTGTCAGGGATTAATATGCACTGATTAGGTTAATACTCTCATAATCCAATCATTTCACCTCTAAACTTTCTTGAACTGTCTCACGCATGGGTGTGAGTTCTTTTTTATATATACATTTGTTTTATTTATTTTTATGTGGTGCTGAGGTTCTAATCCAGTGCCTCATACATTACTACAACTGAGCCACAACCCCAGCCCACACAAGAGCTTTTGAAGAATACCTAATATCTAAAGCATAACAGAAGCATATACCAATTTATGTTCCCACTAATTTTTTTTATTTTTTGCAACGCTGTACCCAGGGCCCTGTACCTGCTAAGCAAGCACTGTATACTGAACCTCACTCTCAACTCTCATTTCTTGAAACAGTTTTCATATTTTGAATTCTTGGACATTTCAGTTTGTACTGCTTTAAAAATGGAGTTGAGGTTGCATGTTTTGTGCATTTGGTATTGAGTTTATTTATTTATTAAATCTTTAATTTTGGTGTTTGTTTTTTAGGATCTCCCCAACTTTCTGTGCCGGTAGTACTGATGGAACCCAGGGGTACTCTACCACTGAGCTACTTCCCCAGCGCTTTTTATATTTTATTTTGAGACAGAGTCTGGCTAAGTTACTGAGACTGGCCACTAACTTGCAATTTTTCTTCCTCAGCCTCACAAGTAGTTGGTATTATAGATTTATTCCACTGACCTAGCAAATCTTTAATTTTTAAAATAATTTTATTATAGTGGGGAGTCTAAGAAAAATTAAAATGAAAACTAAAATATAGATAAATTTCTTGGTACAACAAAGTAAGAATTATTGCCTGGTGAGGTGACAAACACCTATAATCCTTGCTACTTGGGAGGCTAAGAAGAAGGGTAGCAAGTTTGCAAGTATAAGGATGGCCTAGGCAACTTCTTGAGACTCTGTCTCAAAAAAATAAAAAGGGCTAGGAATGTAGCTCAGAGGTAGAGTACTTGCCTTACAATATGCAAGGCCCTGGGTTCAATCCCCACCACCTCAAAAAAAAAACCAACAAAGTAAGGATTATTAATGGATTTCAGACACTTATGATATGTGACTTTGTATCTTTACGTGGTATTTTTAAAACTTTTTCTGATCTTTAATCTGAACCTTAACTATAGCACCCAAGTATCCTTTATTCCTTAATTTTTCATAATAGTTTTGTTTTAGTTTTCTTAGCAAAGAGTAATACATGTTAATTGTTGGAAGGGGGAAGAAATAAGCAAAAATAAGGAACTAAAAATCATGTGTTACCTGTTATCCAAAGATAATCACTGTCAGATTAGTGCTTACGGTCCTTTATTTTTCTATGAAGACATTTTGAAAATATATTCATATCATTAAATATTCTTAAATAGGCTTTTGTAACAAATGATTGCATAGTAATTTTTAAAAATTCAGCTCTTGGACTGGTTTTTAATTTTTGCTATTGAAAACAATGCTTCCATAAAGCTCCTTAAGCATATATCATTATTCTCTGTGGCTAATTTATAAACGCAAAATTTCTCCATAAAAGATATGCATAAAGCTGAAGTTTTAAATACACACTACCATATTTCTTCACCATGTTGAGAGTATACGTTTCCTTGAATCCTTTATTTTTTGACATTTTTCATTTGTTAGTCAAGAAAGTATATATCAGTGCTTTATTTTGCATCTCTTCAAGTAGGAGTGGGGTCAAGCCAGGAACAGTGGTGCACGCCTGTAATCCCAACAGCTGAGGAGGCTGAGGCAGAAATATCACAAATTCAAAGCCAGCCTTAGCAACTTAGTGACACGCTAAGCAATTTGGTGAGCCCTATCTCAAAATAAAAAGGGCTGGGGATGTGGCTCAGTGGTTAACTGTCCCTGGATTCAATCCCCAGTACCAATAAAAAAGAGAATAGGGTTGGATTTTTTTACATATGTTGGCCATGAATATTTTATATATTCCTATCGATATAATATACTGTTTTTCGATCTTTGTGTTATTTTTAAGAGATTTTTATTAACTATTATCTTTATGTTTAATATTTTTCAGATGTTTTCAGATTTCTTTTTATTTTTTCAGATTTTTCAGTTATTTGTTTTTAATTTTATCAATAGTGTTTCTTAATATAGTTTTTGAAAAATCTCTTTCTTAGCTGCTATGTCAGTAAAAGAAGTCCTTCAAAGCTTAGTTGATGATGGTATGGTTGACTGTGAGAGGATTGGAACTTCTAATTACTATTGGGCTTTTCCAAGTAAAGCTCTTCATGCAAGAAAACGTAAGCTGGAGATTCTGGAATCTCAGGTAAGCTGCCAGAATTAAAAATAATGGATTTGAAGCTAGTTTTCACTCTGTGCCTATTATGCGCAAGGCCTTGGGTTCAGTCTTCAGCAGTGAAAAATAAATAATAGATTTGCTTTGTAACACAGAGATTTGTCTTAATCCTTTTTCATTAAGTGGTTTCCTTTAAATTTTTAGAATCCACTGTTTGGCTTAATGTATAAAGATAATCAACTTCTCTATTTTACTCCTGAACCATAGGGCTGGTAACCAGGCCTGGTGGTGCTCACCTGTAATCCCAGCTACTTAGGAGGCTGAGGCAAAATGATCACAAGTTTGAAACTGGCCTTAGCAACTGAGCAAGACTCTGTCTCAAAAAATAAAAAAAATAAAAAAAAAACTGGTGATGTAGCTTAGTGGTAGTGTACCCTGGGTCCAATCTCTGGTACCACAGAAAGTAAGCAAGCAAACAAAAAATTGCAATAAGGTCAGCAGTAGAGCACTTGCCTATCATATGAGGTCCTGAGGTCCTCGGTTCAATCCCCAGGACTGAAAAACAAATAAAACACAATGCAATGACCTTAGAATGTTTTAACTTTCATTTTCCCACATCATGATATTATTTTATATTATTTTAGTACACAAATAGTTTTTAATATGTTCATAGGTATATATGCAATCACCACTACAATGTTCATCACTTCAAAAAGAAATCCTGGGGCTGGGGTTTAGGCTCAGTGGTAGAGCGCTCACCTAGCACATGCGAGGCCTTGGGTTTGATCCTCAGCACCACATAAAAATAAATGAAATAAAGGCATTGTGTCCAACTACAACTAAAAAATAAATATTAAAAAAAGAAAGAAATCCTGGACCTTTAGCTTCAGCCTACCTCTCTCAACCATAGGCAACCATTAATCTACTTTCTGTCTATATAAATTCCTTTCTCTGGACATTTTATATAAATGGAATCATAATGTATAGTCATTCTTAACTGAATTCTTTCTCTAAGATTCATTCATTGTGTAATATGTATCAGTACTCCATTTTTGTTTGTTTGTTTTATGGTGCTGGGGATTGAACCCAGGCCTTGTGTATGCAAGGCAAGCACTCTACCAACTTAGCTATATCCCCAGCCCTCAGTACTCCATTTTTATGGCCAAATAGCACTTCATTATATGGAGATAACCACATTTTGCATTCAAGTCTATTGGTGGACATCTGGGTTGTTTCTACTTTTTGGCTATTCTTAATGATGACACAGCAGTAGCATTGCTAGATCATATGGTAACTCTGTTTAACTACCAGACTGTTTTCTAAAGCAGCTGTACCATTTTATATTCCCACCATCAGTGAATGAAGGTTCCAGTTTATCAGTATCCTCCCTTCCAAAATTTATTACCTGACTTTTTCATTCTGACTTCCTATTGGGTATGAAGTAGTATCTCATTGTGGTTTTGTTTATCATTTCCCTGATAATTAAGGATGTTGAACATCTTTTCATGTGCCTCTTGGCCATTTCTGTGTTTTCCTTGGAGAAATATTTATTATTTATTCAGATCCTTGGCTCATATTTTCACTTCTTTTTTTTTTTTTTTTTGATACTGGGCTTGAACCCAGGGGCACTCAACCACTGAGCCACATCCCCAGCCCTATTCTGTATTTTATTTAAAGATAGGATCTTAGTGAGTTGCTGAGTGCCTCAGCCTCTTGAGCTGCTGGGATTATAGCTGTGAGCCACCATACCCAATTATCTTAACTCTTAAACATGATGAAATGTGATGTGGCACTTTTCTGTCCTACTAGGGAATAACATGCCTATTTATCAGTCAGCGATTTTTAGAATTAGAACTTTATACAGAGTATTAATCAGCTTCCATTACTGTATGATATATCTGAGATAACTAACTTAGAAAAGGTTCGTTTTGGCTCATTGTTTAGGAGGTTCCAGTCAATGAGCAATTGGCCCATTGCTTTGGACCTGTAGTAAAGAACACATCATGGCAAGAGCAGAGAGTGGAGTAAAACCTCTTATGTCACAGGTAGGAGAGCAAAGAGAAAGAGAAGGACAGATTCCACAGTTCCCTTTGAGGGCATGCCTTCAGTGTCCTAACTTCTTTTCACTAGGCCCCACCTCTTAAAGGTTCTACCACCTCCTAATAAAGCCACCCTGGGGACCAAGCTTTTAACACAAGGGCTTTAGAGGACATTCAAAATCCAAACTATAACACAGGATAATTTACTTTTAAGTCTTTTCAAGTTCCCATAACTTACATGTTCTGTCCTTCTCTAAATCCAGCATATTGTTTAGGGCTGGCTCCCTGTTTCATAAACATTGTTCTCTTCCTTACTAACAAAGCACCTTTTTGTTGTTGTTTTTGATTGTACTGGGGATTGAACCGAGGGGTACTCTACTACTGAGTTATATCCCCAGCCCTTTTTATTTTGAGACAGATCTTACTGAGTTGCCCAGGTAGGGTGGAACTTGGTGATCCTCCTGCCTCAGCTTGTATAGTAGCAGGGATTATAGTCATGCACCACAGCTCCCAGCTCAAAGCACTTGTTGAGGAAGCGGTGTCCAAAAGATGTTTATCTTCCTAGATTCCCTTGTAACTAAGTTTTGATAAATGAAATTTAAGTGGAAGAATAGATTTGAATTTCCTGGGAAACTTTCCTTTATCCTTATAAAGGCCAAGCTTCTTCCCTTTTTTTCTGTGATATGGTCATATTACGACCCACAGTAACAAGCATAAGGCTGAAGACAATTCCCAAGGAATGGTATAGCCTAGATGAAAAGATCTGGGTTCTCTGTGGCACTTTGAAATACTGTATTAGACTTGGACTGCTTTACCTCTGTACTTACTACTTGAGCAAATTAAGCCTTCGTTTAATATAGTCTTGGATAAGTATTCTCTTATTTGTGGCTGTATTCTAAATGAATAGTTGCTTTGTAGTCTTTCTTATAAATATGATTTAGATCTTATATTAGTTATCTGTTGCTGTGTAAAAAAAAAAGAAAAACTGCATACCCCAGAGTTACTTCAAGAAACAAACATTGATTTTGTACCTTTTCTGTATATCTGAAATCCTGGCAAGATTTAGCTGGGTACCTCTGGCTGAAGGTCTTGCTTGAGGCTATACTGTTGGCTAGGACTGCATTCTCATCTGGGAGAGAATATACTTCTAAGTTAAGTCCTGCTGTTACTGCATTTAGTTATTGCAGGCTTTTGGACTCAAGAGTCTCAATTACAGATAGCTTTTCGCCAGAGCCCCCCCTCAGTTGCCTGCCATGTTGGTTTTTCAATAGGACAGCTAACAACATGGCAGCTGGCTTCCCTTAGAGCCAGTGATTGTGAGAGAGTCCAAGAAAGAAGAAACAACAGATTTTTTTGTATTTTTTTAAATTGTAGATGGACACAATACCATTATTTTACTTATTTATTTTTATATGGTGCTGAGGATGAAACCCAGTGCTGCTTCACATGTGCTAGGCAAGTGTTCTATCACTGTTTTTTTGTATCTTAATCTTTCAAGTGACATCCCATTGTTTTTACCTCATTGTATTCCTTAGAAATAAGTCATTAAATTCAGCCCCTACTTGAGAGATTATATATGGGCACAAATACCAGGAAGCAAGGATCATTTGGGTCATAGCATACTTACCACAGATTTTTAAGTTCTTAATTTTTTACATGTATATGTCTCATCTTCTCAATTTGTTTTATTTTAAAAAATGCTTTATTGAGGAATAACTGGCATATAAAAACTGTTCATATTTAACATAATTTGATAAGCTTTCACATACATGTAAGTACATAAACCCATCACAATCAAAAAAATTGAACATAATCATAACATCTGAAAGTTTTTCATTCCCTTTGTATCTTAATTTTTTTTTTTTTAGTTGTAGATGGACACAGTACCTTTATTTTGTTTTATTTTTTTAAATACCTTTTTTAAAAAAAAACACATTTTTTTTTAGGTGTAGATGGACACAGCACAATGCCTTTATTTTTATGTGGTGCTGAGGATCGAACCCGGATCCCACCCGTGCTAGGGAGCACTCTACTGCTGAGCCACAATCCCAGCCCCCCTTTATTTTATTTGTTTATTTTTTTTGTGGTGCCGGGGATCGAACCCAGTGCCTCATACATGCTAGGCAAGCACTCTACCACTGAGCCACAGCCCCGGCCCTTTTCATGACTTTTTTTCCCCAGTATGTTATTCAAGACTTATTCATGTTGCTAATATGTATTCATTCACTTTTATTTCTCAGTGGAATTTCATTGTATAAATATACAACAGTTTATCTATTGATAAACATTTGGGTTTTAAGCTATTTCATTAGGTGCATAAACATAATTTTGTCCCCTTGATTTATTTATCCCTTTATCATTATGAAATTACCTTTTTACCTTAGGCCATATTCTTTGTTCTGAAATCTACTGTCTGATTTTTAAGCAGTTGTCCCTTGGTGTTGACAGGAAATTGTTTTAGTAACCCAAGGCTACAAAAATCTGCTGAGGGCTGGGGATGTGTGCTTGCCTGGCACGCATGGGGCGCTGGGTTAGATCCTCAGCACCACATGAAAATGAAATAAAGATGTTGTGTCCACCGAAAGCTAAAATGTAAATATTAAAAAAAAAAAATCTGCTGATACTTAAGTCTCTTTTATAAAATGGTATAGTATCTTCATATGACTATACACATTCTTCTGTACACTTTGTCACGTCTAGGTTATTTACAATACCTAATGCAATTTAAATGTTGTTACACATAATGTTGGGACATAAATAGTTGTTATATTCTATTGTTTAGAAAACAGTGAGTAGGATTTTTAAATTCATACATGCCAGATATGGTGGCACATACCTGTAATCCCGGCTGCTTGAAGCCTGAGACAAGAAGATCACAAATTTGAGACCAACCTGGGCAACTTAGCAAGATCCTATCTCAAAATTTAAAAAGGGTTTGGAATATAGCTGAGGGGTTGCTTATCTAGCAAGTGTGAGGCTCTGGATTCAACC